ATGGGCTCTGCCTAAAGGGTTAGCTGAGCTTAACTTAGCTTAGCTTAGCTTAGCATCGCATATCAAGCATAACATCGCATATCATAGCATATAGCGCAGCATGGCATATCATAGCCTATCAAAGCATGGCATCTCCTATCATAGCATATCGCAGCTTAACATAGCATAGCATACTATAGCTTAACATAGCACAGCACATAGATTAGCATAGTATACCATTGCATATCATAGCGCAGTATATCATAGCATATCATAGCATAGCGCAGCATAACATGGCATAGCCTAGCATAGCAACTAATGTTGCTTTCCTAGGGGCTCCAACTTCTAGGTCGGATCGCACTGGGGTAATTATGTATAAAAAAAGGAAGGCCATGCACTGCGCGAGGGGCGTGCCGAAATGGGCGCGAGGGCCGCGACCGAACCTGCACGTCGCGATGTTGTGGAGCCGTCGACGAGCCCAGGACGTGCGAAAGATGCTGTTGGGCAAGGGTCTGGGGGCGGGAAGAAACAAGGAGGGGCGAGGATAATGAGACAACAATATGGGCATGACGGCGCGGTCATTTCGGCACATCCCTCACTCGAGCGTTTCGCGGGCCCATGTCCAATGCTAGCCCCGCTTTCCAAACTGCAATGGGGTTTGTTCCGCAGGCCATTTTGGCCCCATAGGTCTTTCTTGCCGCGCTGCCCGCTGCAGTCTCGCAGTGCCATGGCCCCCAGGCGCGTCATCAGGAAGCGCTGCAAGGGTGCCAAGCGCTCTCATGGGCCCAAACCAGTCGAACGTGCTGCTGGGCCAAAAGGGTTAGAACAAATGTTCGAGGGCGCCCCGGAGAAGAAGATGAAATATGGCACCCCTCCGGCCAAGCATGCGGCGGCGCCGTTGTCGGATATGTCATCTGCGAAAGGTGCCCCTGCTAATCGGAAGCTCACTTGCAAGACCAAGGATCCTGCTGCTGCGGCGGGGCAATGTATATCGTCACCTGATGCTCAGCAATTGGACGCCGCTGGTATCATGGCAATCTTCGTTAAAGTCTGCAATGCCGTGCAAGCCGAGAACCCTGCCAACGTCATCAAGCCCAGAGACCTGCTGCAGAAATTCCGCCAACACGAGGGCATGGATTTCAACTCCATGTCGAAGCTTGGCAATGAGGGCCTTGAATGGGCGCTTCGGCAGATGCAAGGCTTGCCCATCGACGGGCACGCGACCTCGACACTCAAGGAGACGGAGCAGGCTTCCGTCTTGGCCAAGATCGGCACGGCACCGGAAGCACCGGAGTCGTCAGTTGCGAGCCGCTCCGACTGCGCCGCTTCAGAGACGGGGACTGCGCCAGGCAAGAAGCTGGAGCGCGCGGTGCTCAACTCAGTGACGTGCCCAGCGGCGTGGGCGGCATTCACGCGCTGCACGAAGAATCGCAAGAAGTGGCCTGTATCACTCGCCCCGGAGCTCAAGAGCGACAAGCAAGGACTATTCGAGACGTGGATGGCGTGCAATCGGGACTTAGAGAAGTTGGTGGAGGTGTTCGTCCGGAAATCGATTTCGAAGCAGACGGAGAACAACAACAGATGGGAGTTCCTGAAGAGGCGGGACATCTTACCGATGTACGGGATGAATGAGACTAAGGTCAACAAGGTGTTGGAGCAGGCCATGTGGATCCCAGACGAGGGGCTTCCAGACGACGTGGAGGAGCGCTGGTACAGGGTGCGCGCGAAAGTTTCTCACACCAGGCTCGAGAAGACGGAGGAGACGTTCGGCGTCGAGGGCCGCGCCTCGGTGGACGACCGCATGGCCCAGCACCTCATGGGCGAGGGGGGGGCGCTCGGGGACAACCTTTCGGTGAACATCATGGGCGCCTCGGAGACCGAGATGGCCAAGTTCTTGATGGATGCGTCCAAGGCCGAGGGGGGCAAGGTGAGCGGGATCAAGCCGCGGGAGACGCAGGCCGAGGAGGCCAGCGAGGCGCAGAGGACAGAAGTGGATCCGCTCGAAAGCTTGAAGAAGGAGATGCCGAAGATACACGACCAGGCTACGAAGGCAAGGGCCCTCGGGAAGTCCTTGACGCACCACCAGTTCGGGTCAGAGCTGAGCAAAGAGCTGATCCGGCACGCGGACATGATGGACGTCATCTACGGCAAGGCCGCCAAGAACGTGAAGGATAATATTCTACAGAGCGCTTCGCGCCTTCACTTGGGCCATCGTTTGCGTTCGCATATCTTTGCGGTGGCGGAGTCCTGAACGGGGCGCCCTGGGGCGCCCTCTTTCTCCTTCTCCTTCTCCTGCTCCCCCTCCCAACCCCTCCTCCTCCCTCTACCTCAATGGTCATCCTCCTTCCCCCCCTCCTCTCGGCGACGGAAACGCATGCGCCCCTGCGCTTGGGGCGCCCGGGGCCGGGGGGCTAGGGGGGCGACCGCGACAGCGAGGAGGGAGAGATCAAGAGAGAGAGAGAGAGAGAGAGAGAGAGAGAGAGAGAGAGAGAGAGAGAGAGAGAGAGAGAGAGAGAGAGAG